CCTGAAACCCATCCAGTAGCCGATCTACCATCCTCTGAAAGTTAGCTGGGGCATTCTTCATCCCGAATGTCATGGCCTTAAACTGATACAGGCCAAACGAGGTGACAAATGCCGACTTGTGGATGGCGTCCTCGGCTAATGGAATTTGCCAGTACCCCTTGCACAGATCTATTGTGGTGAGGTACTGGCCTCTGGCCATTTTGTCTAGGAGCTCGTCTATCCGGGGCATAGACGAGGCGTCTGAGGTTGTTTTATCGTTTAGCCTTCGGTAGTCTACACCGAAACGGGTCGTGCCGTCCCGTTTCGGTACTAGTACTACCGGGGAGGCCCAGGGGCTGTCAGAGTGTTCTATCACCCCTTATTGCATCATTTCCTCATTTCCTCATTTCCTGAATATTTTCTTTAACTGCTTCGGGTATGCGATAGGCGGTTTGGCGAAGAGGGGTCTGGTCTAGGGTTTCAACTTTGTGAGTGGTTAACGGACTGTACCCAGGTAGGTTGGAAAACGTGGCCCCCTTGTCCTGGATTAGTCTTTGGACCTGGGTTCGCTCCTGGGGGTCTAACCATTTTCCTAACTGTACTTCTCCCAGGTCTCCGCTCTGGCCCTCTAGGTCTAGGAGATCTGGGAGTGGCAAATTATCATAATCTTCAGTGGCAGGTGCACAGATCGCGGTTACCTCTTCCGTGCGCTCGTGGTATGGCTTGAGCATGTTCACATGGAGCATGAGCTTGCCTCCCGTGCCTGTGACCGCATCGATCACAAAGGTGGTATCACAAACCTGCTCTACCACCTTGTATGGGCCCTGCCAGGAAGCCTGCAGCTTGTCCTTGTGGACAGTGTCAATCCATATCTGCCAAGTGACCCTATGTAGGGGAAACAGTCTCTATCCTGCTCTGTGTCAGTGTGTATCATGGTCTCTGAGGACAGGTGTCAATCCATATCTGCCAAGTGACCCTATGTAGGGGGAACAGTCTCTATTCTGCTCTGTGTCGGTGTGTATTATGATCTCTGAGGACAGGTGTCAATCCATATCTGCCAAGTGACCCTATGTAGGGGGAACAGTCTCTATTCTGCTCTGTGTTAGTGTGTATCATGATCTCTGAGGACAGGTGTCAATCCATATCTGCCAAGTGACCCTATGTAGGAGGAACAGTCTCTATTCTGCTCTGTGTCATTGTGTATCAGGGATCCTTAGGACAGGTGTCAATCCATATCTGCCAAGTGACCCTATGTATGGGGAACAGTCTCTATTCTGCTCTGTGTCAGTGTGTATCATGGTCTCTGAGGACAGGTGTCAATCCATATCTGCCAAGTGACCCTATGTAGGGAGAACAGTCTCTATTCTGCTCTGTGTCAGTGTGTATCATGGTCTCTGAGGACAGGTGTCAATCCATATCTGCCAAGTGACCCTATGTATCAGGGGCTCCGAGGAGGAACAGTAACATTCCCTATTCTGCTCTGTGTCAGTGTGTATCAGGGATCCTTAGGACTAGGACAGGTGTCAATCCATATCTGCCAAGTGTAGGGGGAACAGTCCCTATTCTGATCTGTGTGAGGAGGAGGAATGGGAAATGAGTAGCTCGACATCCAACCTTGTGCAAATGGGGTCTTTCATGCTGTCGTGCCTGTTGAGGGACCCTCGTATAAAAAGGCTGAAGGAGAACGACCTGTGCTGGGTGTCCACGCTACTAGACCCCCGGTATAAGCAGACAGTGGCGGAAATGTGACCGAATTACAAGTCAGAAAGGATGCAGCATTTGCAAAATAAATTAAAAAGTATGCTTTACACAGCGTATAAGGGTGATGTCACAGCACAACGGGAATCTAACAGGGGAAGAGGTGAAAGTCATCCTCCTCCTCCCACGACCACGCCATATCTGCCAAGTGACCCTATGTAGGGGTAACAGTCCCTATTCTGCTCTGTGTCAGTGTGTATCAGGGGCTCTGAGGACATGTGTCAATCCATATCTGCCAAGTGACCCTATGTAGGAGGAACAGTCCCTATTCTGCTCTGTGTCAGTGTGTATCAGGGATCCCTAGGACAGGTGTCAATCCATATCTGCCAAGTGACCCTATGTAGGGGGAACAGTCTCTATTCTGCTCAGTGTCAGTGTGTATCATGGTCTCTGAGGACAGGTGTCAATCCATATCTGCCAAGTGACCCTATGTAGGGGGAACAGTCTCTATTCTGCTCTGTGTCAGTGTGTATCAGGGGCTTTGAGGACAGGTGTCAATCCATATCTGCAAAGTGACCCTATGTAGGGGGAACAGTCTCCATTCTGCTCTGTGTCAGTGTGTATCAGGGGCTCTGAGGACAGGTGTCAATCCATATCTGCCAAGTGACCTATGTAGGAGGAACAGTCCCTATTCTGCTCTGTGTCAGTGTGTATCATGGTCTCTGAGGACAGGTGTCAATCCATATCTGCCAAGTGACCCTATGTAGGAGGAACAGTCTCTATTCTGCTCTGTGTCAGTGTGTATCATGGTCTCTGAGGACAGGTGTCAATCCATATCTGCCAAGTGACCCTATGTAGGAGAACAGTCTCTATTCTGCTCTGTGTCAGTGTGTATCATGGTCTCTGAGGACAGGTGTCAATCCATATCTGCCAAGTGACCCTATGTAGGGGGAACAGTCTCTATTCTTCTCTGTGTCAGTGTGTATCATGGTCTCTGAGGACAGGTGTCAATCCATATCTGCCAAGTGACCCTATGTAGGGGGAACAGTCTCTATTCTGCTCTGTGTCAGTGTGTATCAAGGATCCCTAGGACAGGTGTCAATCCATATCTGCCAAGTGACCCTATGTAGGAGGAACAGTCTCTTTTCTGCTCTGTGTCAGTGTGTATCATGGTCTCTGAGGACAGGTGTCAATCCATATCTGCCAAGTGACCCTATGTAGGGGGGACAGTCTCTATTCTGCTCTGTGTCAGTGTGTATCAGGGGCTTTGAGGACAGGTGTCAATCCATATCTGCCAAGTGACCCTATGTAGGGGGAACAGTCTCTATTCTGCTCTGTGTCAGTGTGTATCATGGTCTCTGAGGACAGGTGTCAATCCATATCTGCCAAGTGACCCTATGTAGGGGGAACAGTCTCTATTCTGCTCTTTGTCAGTGTGTATCAGGGATCCTTAGGATAGGTGTCAATCCATATCTGCCAAGTGAGCCTATGTAGGGGGACCAGTCCCTGTTCTGCTCTGTGTCCGTGTGCATCAGGGGCTCTGAGGACAGGTGTCAATTCATATGTCAAGGTGTCAATATGTCATATGTCAGGTGTCAATCCATATTCATTGTGATTTAGGAATGTTACGTGATTTCTGCCCTTTATGGATTAAAACCAGACTCTGCATCAACTGTGTAATTTTCCATGGGAGTTTTGCCATGGATCCCCCTCCGGCATGCCACAGTCTAGGTGTTAGTCCCCTTGAAACAACTTTTCCATCCCTATTGTGGTCAGAAAGAGTCCCTGTGTGTTTTAAAATTCGCCTGCCCATTGAAGTCTATGGGGGTTCGCCCGGTTCGCCGGTTCGCGAACATTTGCGGAAGTTCGCGTTCGCCGTTCGCAAACCGAAAATTTTGTGTTCGCGACATCACTAATTACTACCGAATGGCGCTCAGATCACATACATACAGTTCAATCGCCATGGAGCCAAGTCTTTCCCATAGTCTTTCGTTACACGAATAGGCTCCTTGGCTTAGCTATCTGGGGGATGCTGTTCATCGGGTGAAACTACCGAATGAACAGTCATTCGGTTCTGCTTACCGAATGGGAAGGTAAGGAGACTGGCGGCTCAGCCATTCGGGAGGTAAAATGGCCGCTGTCACGTGTTCGGCAGATGAACAAATGCCACTCAGCGTTCATAAATTAAGCTGCGGTTAACCGCAGCTTCTGGGCGGTCAATTGGCGGCACACTCCAGCTCCCAGGTGGTCCATCGTTCGGTAGTTTGTTCGGTAGATGGAATCTACCGAACACCCTGGCAGAAAGGCACGAATAAACCTTTCAGCAGGGAAAATAACAGCTCTGAACTGCTGGGCCATAATCTAAAGGGAGCAGGCGAGCAACCAGGCTTCTCCAGTGTACAGTGGCGAGGTTGGTTCCGCCACAGTGGCCACCCATTTTTTTCAGGTGTTTTCCATGTTTGTGTTTTCTTTTGGGTATATAAGAACAGGATTTAGTTTCTCTCAACATGCTGCCTTGATAAAGGTATTTTTGCCAAAACGTTGGGCATGTTTTGGTGACTGACTCTGTCCCTGCTTCTCACTAGGTCTGGTATGCTTATTGCACTATAAATTTTTGTATATATATATATTTGTTTGTGGGGTTGGATTAGACTGGTATTTTATTTCTTTATTTCTGTATATTGACGCATTTGGTGTTTATACATATATATTCAGAATTTTTCTGATCATTGCTGTATAGCGTGATATGATCCTATATTTTGGATCCTTATGTTATGTGATATTCTTATAGACTGTACCCACTTAATAAAGATTGTTTTATTATTATTGATGGTTGTGCTCCTTACTCTATTGTTAATCCCATCCCTATATTCCAGCCAAATGCTGGAGCAATGCCCTCTTATTCTCTCATACAGTGCCATTTCGGCTTTTCCGATGTATACAAGCTTGTGAGCTTCTATACAACATGTGTGGTTTTATAGGTGATTGTGCTTCTTATGGAATATTTTTGGTTGATGTGTGGATGTGAAAAAGTTCTCGATGGGGTCATATGGCCACACGTTACGCAGCCTAAACAACGTACACTACCACGGTTCAATGTTGTAGTTTTTTACATGTAGCTTAGTATAGGGTCTTTGTTGACGAGAAGATCCTTTAGATTTCTATTCCTCTTGAAGGGGCTGTGCTTGAAAAACTTTGGGAAGAGTGTCATCTGTAGCCAATATCCTCCTGTTCTTTCTAATAGCAGAAGAGATTTGTATGGTTGACTGATGGTAGGTTGTAGGAAAAATCATTCTTTGGGTTGCCGCTGCCTCCCTCTGTGCTCAAGGAGTTCTCGCTTCCTCAAGAGCCTTATCAAGGGTAGAGTGCTGGTACCCACGTTCCAGAAACCTTCCTATCATCTCCAGCAGGTGTCTCTCTTTCACATCTTCTTTGGAGTTGTTTCTAATAACCCTAAGATATTGGGCTTTTGGAAGATATCTCTTCAGTGCTATAGGTTGAGCACTCTGTGCATGTAACAACGTATTCCGATCAGTCGCTTTAGTATACAGACTGTACTCTATTCTATTCGTACCAATGGACAGTTCCACGTCCAAGTATTGTACTTTCTCACTGTTGATGTTTACCGTCATCCTAATTGGTGTTGGGAGCTTGTTGATTTCCTCTACCATGGTATATGCTTCGGGTATGGTGCCGTTCCATACAATCAACAGGTCATCGATGTAGCTATAGTATCCCTGTATTAGATGTCCATATCGTATCAGGATATTATTTTGTTCATATACTAACATGTATGCGTTAGAATACATGGTGGCCATTACCGCCCCCATCGATGTACCTGAAACTTGGAGATACCATTGGTTTTTCAAACCGGAAATAGTTCAGTTCTAGTGTTAACGACAATATCTCCAAAATATATTCAATGGGTGGCCCTTTGTATACTATTGAAGCTGTAAGCACCTGCCTCATGACTTCTATTCCACCTTCATGTGGAATGACGGTATATAGACATTTGACGTCCATTGTGATTAAAATAGGTTTTCTCTCTCGAAATACAATATTGTTGATTTTGCCCAATAATGTTGGTGTGTCCTTAATACTGGTTTCCAGTTGTTCAATTGGTCCTTTAAATAAGAAGTCAAGCCACTTGGCTAAAGGTTCCAAGATTCCTTTAATTGCGGACACTATAGGGCGTCCTGGAGGGTTCTTTATGAATTTTCAGGATGCTATAAATGATAGGGCTGCGTGGGTGCTTTTGATTTAAAAATTGAAATAAATCCAAATTAATAAATCCTGCTCTTAGACCCATAGAGAGATTATCATGGATAGCATACTGGAAGTCCATGATTGGATCGTGGTCAAGAGGAAGATAAGTATTGGTATCTTGCAATTGACTCTTCAACTCATTGGCATAATTAGTATTGTCCATGAGGACAATGCCCCCTCATTTATCCGCAGATCATATGACTATAGACATGTCCTCTGCTAAGTTCTTGATGAGTTGGCATTGATTCTTAGAGACATTCTGTCGTCCATTGAAAGGTTTAGACATTACCTTGTGTGCATCTTTGTTTGTTAATGAAAGGTAAGTTTTGATGGAAGCTTTGTTGGTTGAAGGGTCAAAAGTTGACTTGAGGCGAAACCTCTCTTTTACTTCATCATTGTCCAGCATTGCAGTAGCATTGGTCTTGTTGAAATATTCTTTTAGTTGCAAATTTCTGCCAAATTTGAACCAATCTACATCCCATTGAAATTTGTTGGCATTGGCTGTGGGGACAAAAGATAGTCCATGACTTAGCAAGTAAACTTCATCCTTGATTAACGGCCTATGGGATAAATTAAAGATGGGGATTACTTCTTGTGGGGTGGTGTGCCCTTTGGCATTGCTCTTAGTTTTGCGACTTCTTCTGGTTCTACGTTTCCTTTTGCCTGACTCCTGGTGGAGGTACCCATTTCTGTGGCACCTAAAAAATGTGGAGGTTGAAGTGCAGGTTCATTTGCGTCATTAGTAGAGGCAGATTCGCCCGACGTAGTGTCAATAGTGACAGTTCTGGGTTTGTTTCTTTTTCTGAGTTGCCTTCTTGGTTTATGCGTGTTATTACCAGACAGCCACCTGTAGACTCTATGGTCCTGGTAGTCCTGCTGGACCCTTTCAAACTTCTGCTTCTTCAGCTTAATAAGTTCATTTTTATATTTTAATAAATCTTCTTTAAGCTTCTGTTGTGATTTCTCCCCCTCTGTTGAAGCCAGTAGTATGGCATGCTCAGTTTCACAATCCAATGTCTTTTTGTTCACATCGACTAAATCTTCTTTCACGTCCTTAATGGTAATTAGCATCATATCTAACGATGTTTTATTTAAGACCATAGTCCGGTCCTTGCAGACTTTAGCTTTGCCTCTAGTTGGTACATTAAGGACTCTAAATCGCACTAGTGCACTGGTTACGGCAGAACGCCGATCTGATACTATTTTCACCTGGGGGTAAGTCAATTTAGCTGATATCTTTGTGTATATATGTAATGAATGTCCATGTAATGTTTGTATTTGATCCTGATAAAAGTCCTCTATGCAGGACTGAAACGTTGATCGTCTTTTATATTTTATACTCCACTACAATTCTTTCCGAATCTCAAGTCGGAGCAGGGAAAGAACCAGGAAGGGTGAACTTGATGGCCGAAAGGCTCTTTTCAGCTATGTAACTATGTAACCAAGCTCACAGTATCCGAGGCATTAAAAAGAAAACAGACTCACAGGTACACCCAGCTTCTTCTTGTAATAGAAGGGCTAGCAACTGAATCACAGGCAGTCAGCAGCATCTCCTCTGCTCGCTCCAGTGACACGGGAGGTGGGAGGAGGAGGGGAACATTTAACTTAAAATTTTAACTAAAATGCCGTAGGCTTGCAACTTCAAGTGAGCAGTGATTAAGGCGTATAGCAACTTTGGGTCCAAGTAACATTGCTTGACAGAACTTTTTATATATAATATTTTTTATATTTTAATATTAAAAAACAAACATTTGAATGTTTATCCAAAAATATTAAATCATTTGAAAAGTTTATCCAGCAATAGTAAACCAATCCTATGTATGTGTTTCAACTCTTTCTACTTTATGTGCCACAGGAGAGAGTAATGTACAGTTATGCTCCTTGCTGTAATAATCGCTATAATAATCACAAATATATAGCTAAACCTTTTGTTGAGGGCCCAGAGAATGTATCTATTGAACCTAGATTGCACACTATACGTGGTTTTACACTAACTTCTGATTTTTGATTTTTTATCTACAGCTGAATGCAAATACTGAGGGAAAATAACTGAAATTAATCAATTATACAACTCAGCTACAAATTGATTATGTTTGCATTGGTTTTTCCATTTGGATTTTTATTTGCAAGAACTTGGATTTTAGTTAGTAGCCACATATACAGGATTATTCACTAAAGTGAGAATTTAAAGTGAATATAAAGTGAATTTCAAATTTAAATTGGAAAAATTTCAAAGTCAGGCATGCTTCCAATTTGGCTACTTTGGCCTGAAATTTAAAATTCACTTTGAATTCTCACTTTAGTGAAGAACCCCAATAGCATTTTATAATAAATCCTACAGAGTGTTTCTAGCACCACCGGACTCTGATGTGATGGATTATCTTAAACGAATAATCATCTTCTCTGCTTTCTGTACATCAATTTTCCCATAGATGTAAGTGTTAGAATTGCGATTCAGTAAACAATGTAAACTCTTGTTCTGCTCAAAGAACCTAGCCCTATGCTTTGAAGGCAAAGTGTACCCTATAATAAAGTTGCCACTGAGGTTATCCGAATAAATAATTAGATCTGTCAACTCTGTGAAACACATTTTCAACCAATTCCCAAGAGAACAGCAGAACTGCCCTGTCATATCATATCAGCAATCCCCTGATCAGATTAGTAAACTGAAATACCCTTGTTTTCCTTCCATATGATTCTTAACAATACATCTACAATAGCCAATGGTAGCATCAAATGGTTTTAAAGCAAGAAAAAAAAATTACATATATCTAACCTACGGAAATATTTTGATGGAACATATGTAGACTTGTGAAGTATATCCTAGTATTTCCAATGCCAATGGTAAACCTTATGGACAAAGCAGTTCTTTCCCTATTGTAAACACATCTCACATGGATTATTTTGTTGTTTTAGTTAAATGCAGCAGTGATATTTTATGCCTTTTCTCTAACCCCAAGCCTTGCGTCTAATTATGCCACATTGTGTTGATATGCCTAACATTTGATGTGACCTTTAACAAGAAAAAAATTTCTTTAGAACAATCAAGCTATCTATTAACCTATTCGCTACCAAACACATTTAGTTCTAAAAAATATTAGCATAATATTGATATTAAACATGACCAGAACTGATGGTGGTGCAAGCAAACTGATTCTCCCACCGGACCACAAAAGACCATCATTTCGCACTCCCTGCCCAACAGTAAGCATTAGGGAGAAGGGAATAAATGTTTTTTATTTTTATTATTTTCACACATATTTCACCTAGCCCCACAATTTTGCCCATATTCTCCATCAATTCCCTTGCCCCCCACTACTGCCCCTATTCCCCTTGTCATAGTTCCTATCTCCCACATTACTTTTAGATCATACAGAGTAGGTGTAACAAAACCAAATAAATAAAATAACCACATACACTGTTTATGATTACAAAAACATTTACCCAAATCAGTAATCAACTGATTTCTGATGATTGAATTAAATCAAGTCCATAGTTTCCTAAAATGCCAGGAGAAAGTAAAAATAATATTTGCATTTGAGCAAAATGCCTACATCAAATAATTACAGTTAAATCATCTGTTTGTAAAATGCAAGTTTTTGAAACGTGCAATAACAAAATGCATTAATGTTAATATTGCTCTGAGTGACATTAAATCCCCCCTCCCCATATAACCTTTAGAATACAGCAATATAGGTTAAGTGGAAAGAGTGGTGTAATTTCAGCCCACTTGCAGATATTCAATAGTCACAATGGAGCCCTTGTAAAATAATTTGCGTCTACCAAAGGTGAAAATAGATCCTGGGGTAATGGCTGCTACAAAAAATGTGCCCAGTCACATGAAAGTCTAATGGCTTTTTTTAATATTTACAAAAAGGTCAAGATAGCACTCTGGAGACGTTGAAAAAACAAGTAAAACATAACTTTTATTTGCTCAAAAATAAGAGATCAACTTTTCAGCTTGTAATCCAAACTTTCATAAAGTATATATATATATATATATATATATATATATATATATTCAACTAGTGGGTTTCTTTAATGAAAAGTATCTGAGCTGCATACTGAATGATGCCATCCATGCATACCTAACACTGCAGTAAATTAATCAATGTCTGGGTTTTTTAGGGATTAGAATAGTTACGTAGCAGCTTCACATAGCTTAATATAGTTAGTAGCACATTAATTAACATTATACCAAATTATATAGTGCCATAAGATTAAAATACCATAGATATACCCCTAATAATTAAACATGAGCTAGTCTAAACCCAAACCCTGTCTCTAATCCTAGCTCTAATAATAACCTTATCAATAACCATAAAATCATATAATGTAAAAGATATATAACATACACAACATACCATAAGATTTTAAATACCCAAAACTAAAATATGTCTCATCCTTACCCTAACTGCAGCCCCTACTCAAGGCCCTAATTTTAATGCATGTCCTAATCTTAAACGTAACCTTTAACCCTAATACAGTATGCTATAAGAGTAGCCAAACCATAAGCTTAGTTCCAACCCTAGAAAAAAATGTAGATATGTCC